TTTGACTCCAACCTTGGACCAACTTACACTTGCTCATTCAAAGACAGAAAATCAGAAAATGCATAATTACTCTGTAACAGACCTCAACATGATTTCCACTTTGCATGAGGATTAAAAATCATTATTACTGTTTCACAGTTAATTAAAAATGATTAGTTCACTGCAACATCTAAAAATGGTTTGAACTAAAACACTTTGATTATCAAACATTTGTAAAATAGTAATGATAATAGAAAAGAGAGTGTTCTTTCACTCGATCAATTCAAGAAAGAAAGTCTCAGGATGGGTCAACCTGTATTTCTGGATTCAAATCAATGAAATGACAGTTTCTGTCCCATAAGGTCCTTAAGGTCAGGATTTGACCTCAGGCTTAGTTCACTACACAGGCGAAGGTCAGAACCAAAGACAGAAGGCTTAATAATCCAAGGGGTCGAGCGAGAGGTGATGTGCAGGTGAGTCGTCGGTCCAGGAGCCGGGAGGTCGAACCAGGAGGTAAGGACAGGAACCAGGAGACAGAAAATATAATCTAAGGAACGTGATTCGTGACAGAGGCGTTCCAATGGGCAAAAAAGGAAGTGTTGCTCCCGGCTTAAAAAGAGAGGATGCTGGGCAGGGGTTCTGTTGAGGCTACGTGCTAATGCTAAAGCCAGAAAACTAAAATATGGGACCCTGTGTACATAATTTCGTTCCACCACATGTACCAAATGTGGTGCGAATGACAATAAAGAATCTCTGACTACTATTTATATTTACAAACTGGAATCTATCAGATAAATATGATTTAAACCATTTTAGAGCTGTTCCTGTAATCCCAATGTCATATTCAAGTCTCTGTAGTAAACTATTGTGATCAACTGTATCAAATATGACACTGAGGTCTAACAGAACCAATGTTGACACAAGTCCATTGTCTGAAGCCATGAGAATATCATTAGTGATTTAATATCATTAGTATAATTAGAATATCATTAGTGACTTTCACTAGTTCTGTTTCTGTGCTCTAAACCCTGACTGAAACTCCTCAGACAGATTATTTTTTTTGCAGATGTGATGGGAGATAGGAGGAAGAGTAAAATTGAGTTTATTTTTCAGAAATAGATCCTGTCTAACTCTGAATGCTAGGAATCGCCTTGTAATTGCTACTTTCATTCCCACCATTAACTACGGTGACATTAGGGGTGAGCGATATAGCTCAAATATAATATTGTGATATTTCAGAGCATTCTGGCGATAACGATAAATTTTGGGATATAAAAACCTCCCAGAAATCATAGTCAGGTCATCTGGACAGTTTCTTTTTTTGTGCTGAAACGTTTCGCCTTTGATCCGGAAAGCTTCATCAGTCAAGGAAACACACAACAAAACTGATTCTTCCCCCAACAGCTTACTCCAAAGTGGAACAAACCAGTTCTGCTTGTGATACGCCCCCTCCTCCATTGCCGGCCCTCTTCCTTGTTGACAGTCTTGTCAAACTGGTTGAAAACAACAAAGTTCATGCTCAATAATCCAGGTATACAATCCAACATTTTTCAGTCAGGACTTCCTTATCGAAGGCGAAACGTTTCAGCACAAAAAAAAAAAGAAGAAGAAAGAAACTGCCCAGATGACCTGACTGAAAAATGTTGGATTGTATACCTGGGTTATTGAGCGCTGTTCAGTTTGGTCGTTCAGCGCGCACAGTTCTGTTAACGGAACGGGGCGCTCTGACGTATTATGTCATGAAATTAGCATATCATGATATAATTTATTTTCCCGGGCAAGCTTTTTTTACTTGTATTATCGTGAACAATATGATATGGCCCAGCCCTAGGTGACATTATATGAACACTCCTGCAAGCACTCTGCAGATGTTTAACGCTGTCTATCACGGTGCACTAAGATTCATAACTGGCTGTAACTACCGTACCCTGTATTCAGTAGCTATGTTTACATGCGCAGAATTCTTTGACCGGATTGAAATGTGTCAATTAGTCTGCGTTTACATGCAGCGGGCTTTGTTCTGAACAGCAGTACTGACATGCGCAGAGTGGTAAACTCTCCTTAAAAAAAAACACAGAAGAAGAAGTTCTACTTCCGGGGTGAACGTAAACAAACCTGAGCACCCAAAATGGACCCGCGACAGGTTTTAATGATGGTGGAGACGTTATTGCACTCCCTGACTGAGCTACAGGTAATAGAGATCATTTTGAGCTCTTTCAAAGTTTCTAGTAGAAATGTTGTCGCTCACCGACCAGTTTTGCTCCCCTGACATGCTAGTATTATTAGCATTAGCCAGGCAGAAATGGCAGAGTCGCACATGCGCAGTCAGGTCAGTTTTTCACGATCAGATAAAAACGAACAGATCAAGCGTTTACATGCACACCAATCGGGTTACTGATTGGCGTAAACCACCCGTTTCGTTCTGATCATAAATTTTATCGGATTGCGCCGAATACACAAAAAATAACCCTAACGGAGTGTTTACATGACACACTTTTATTCCGACCGCCATTTGATCCAGTTACTTATGTCCATGTAAACATACCCACTGTTTAACTGGTCATCATTAACTTCAGGCAGACTCTCACACTGATACATTTTCATTTTTAAATCACTTATTGGTCTGTTGCCTTCATATATCTCCTCCTACATGTCACTCCGTCAGTGCTTCTACAGCAGGATATTATTACATGCAGTGTTCCCTCAGTGCGGACCGAACTTGGCAAAAGGGCCTTCTCTTACTCTGCTCCTGTAACCTGGAATACCTTGGAAAAAAGATCTGAAGCTGTCTACTTTGACCTCTCTACAGGATTTTAAACAACTGCTAAGTTCACGGCAAAAACCAATGCAGACATGTACCTGTTTTTAGTATTTTACATTGCTTCATAGTGTAACTGTTTTTGTTTAATTTTTATGTCATTACTTGTATTTACTTTTCATTTTATATGCTTTTATATGATTGTCTATTGTTGTCTGTACCTCATCTGTGTTCTTTGTTTAAAACAGGTCTCTCTTGTAAATGAGTCCTCGAGGCTCAGTGAGACTAGCCTGTATAAATAAAGGTTGAATAAAAACAAAGGACTGTTGGCACCAACTTTCTCTCTGAAAACAACATCCCCTTGGTTTCAGCATTTAGTACCAATTTGAGATGGAACAAATCTGACTGAATGATGTGAAATGCAGACTGTATTAGCTGGAAAACCTTGGTAACTGTCTTAGCTTGATAATAAACAATTGTATCATCTGCATAGAGATGTCGTCATGGGTCAGGAATGTTTTGACCTACATTACTTATATGAATTGTAAAAAGAGTGGGTCCTAAAACTGAGCCTTGTGGCACACCATTATTGACCATTAAATAAAACTGCAGTAGGAAAACTTATTTGACATGTATAATCAGAATGAAATACAATTTTTTTGTAGTTTTCTGTAGCGGTTATTCGTGTGGGTTATTGTGCTACACCTCAGAGTTTGTTTTGCCTTTCAGGAAAGCTCCAATGGGCCAGTGAAGAAGTCCATGAGAGAAAAGGCCATAGAAAGGCGCAACATCAACAAGGAACACAACAGTAACTTCAAAGCAGGCTACGTACCCATCGAAGAAGAGCGTCTTCATAAAACAGGCCTCAGAGGGCGCAAAGGAAACATGGCTGTTTGCATTATTGTCCTCCTCTTCCTCCTTGCCCTGATTAACCTCATCGTGCGTTCCTCTAACATGATTATACTTACTTGTACTTTCCTATAAAACAATTTTTAATGTGACTTGTGAGGTTTTAAAGTCTACCACAACCCTTGTGTTTCTTAGATCACGCTGGTAATATGGACAGTAATTCGCATCGGGCCGAATGGCTGCGACAGTATGGAATTCCATGAGAGCGGCCTGCTGCGCTTTAAGCAGAAAGCAGACATGGGGATCGTTCACCCACTGCACAAGAGCACAGTCGGGGGCCGTAAAGACCAGGATCTGGTCTTTGTTGGAAACAACAATCCAGTAAGAATAAAACTCTGCTTTTTTAAGTGTAATTGCACACTGTGTGGACACATTTAGAGCTACCTTCTGTGTTTCATGTGTGTTGTTAACAGGTAGTGTTCCAGCAAGGGACTACAAAGCTGAGCGTGGAGAAGGACAAGACCTCGGTCGTCAGTGATGTTGGCATATCCTTCACAGATCCTCGGACACAGGCCACATTCTTTAGTACAGATTTTGAAAACCACGAGTTCCATCTGCCAAAAGGAGTCAAAGTCCTCAGTGTTAAAAAGGCTTCAACTGAAAGGGTGTGTATCATGAAAAAAAATGATTCACCTGTTTTGTGTGTTTCACAATCTGGGTCAGAGGTGCTAATATTTCACATTCCATTAAGGTAAAATAACATAGTGTTTTCAAAAATTAACTCATCAACATAGAAATAAAAAGTTACCAATAATTCGGCGTAATGTTTTTATTGTTTTTATGGTATTGGTGTATATTTAGTTGATGTTTTTCTTAGTTCATATCTTAGATCTCATTACTGTTTTTCTTTTACATTTTATTTTTGTAACTGGGACCCTGTGTACATAATTTTGTTCCACCACATGTACCACATGTGGTGTGAACAACAATAAAGAATATCTTAATCTGAAACAGTGTTATCAGTGTAAAGAGGAAAAAGTTTTAACTTGGATGGAAACACTGCCTTACAGTGGAAAAACTTGTCTGAATGTTTTATTTTCTTAGCTAAAGAAGTTTAAAATACTTTTTTGAAGTTTAAAATGTTATGCGCAGTGACATAAGCTGAAAGTTAAGACAGTTTTATTTGAATGAACCAAAGATGTAAATGCCTTGATATTCAAACAAATTTCAAAATATAGATCTAAACGTAATGAGAATCGTCTCATGCATTTTTCAAGTAAAAATGAGCTTACTGGTATTCCATTATGATGATGATGTGTGTTTTTGTCACTGGTTTTTAGATCACCAGTAGTGCAGCATCAGATCTGAACATCAAGGGAGATGGAAAGGCAATCATTCGTGGCAACGAGGGAGTGAATATCATGGGCCGGACCGTAGAGTTCAAAATGGGTGGAGACATTGAGCTCAAGGCTGTGAGTGAGGCGTTATGTCCTAAAACCATGACAAACAGAAAGTCCACCCTCATCCATTCTTTATCTATACTCGCTTCTTCCTTTTTGAGTAATGGAGGTCACTGTTGCCCATATCCAGCAGTCACTGTGTGGGAGGTAGGAGACACCTGGACAGGTCTCAAGTCCATCACAGGGACACACAGAGACAAATGAGACAAACAACCATTCTCACTCTCACCTAGGGACAATTTAGAGTCACCAATCAGCCTAACATGCATGTTTTTGGTCTGTGGGAGGAAACTGGAGTACCTGGAGAAAACCCACACAGCACAGAGAAAATATGCAAACTACCAAAAAAAGCCCCCTCAGCCAGGATTCGCTCTGGCGACCTTCTCCCTGAGAGGCAACAGCTCTACCCACCATGCCACCTCACACTCTTTCTGTTTTAGGGCTTTGTGTACGACATAATATAGAATGATCTGGTTTTTACCAGCTTCTAAAATTATTGAACTCTAATCTCAAGAGCACAAAAACACAATAGATGCCATTACTTTTTTATTTTTTTTAACAAAAACAAAGACAAAAACTGGTGTAAAAACAACTAATTCCTCACTTTCTGCTTCGAAATGATGTAAGATGGACAGTAGGAGGAAGGAGCTGCTGATAAATGTATTGAGTAATTGATCACCATCAGTGTGACCACTTCTATAAAAGTAGGAGTTTTATCAGTTTGCTGCTCTGGAGCATACAGTGTGTTAACACAATGCCAGGGCGGAAAGACAGGAGCAATGAGCTCAGATGAGCGACTGATGCTGTTCATCAATCTGGGAAAGGTTTAAAGCTCTTTCTAATCAATTTAAAGTCCCTCATTATATGGTAAAAAAAATATTCACAAGTGGAAGACAGCTGCCAGTGCCAATATTCACACCTTTACAGAAAAATGCGTAAACTTCATATGTGGACATAACATTTTCACATGTGAAACCCCCATCAGCTGCTTCTGGGGTCCCACAGGCCAAAAAGGCCAGATGGGACTCCTTCTTCAGCCTGACAGCATCCCTCACCGCTGGTGTCCACCACCGGGTTTGAGGGTTGTCTTAGCGACAGGCACCAACAACCTTGCGGCCACAGCTCCGATAAGCCGCCTCAATATTAGAGGCACGGAACATGGCCCACTCGGACTCAGTGTCCCCCACCTCCCCTGGAACATGTTCGAAATTCTCCCGGAGGTGGGAGTTAAAGCTCCGTCTCATGGGAGACTCTGTCAGATGTTCCCAGCAGACCCTCACAATATATTTGGGCCTGCCAGGTCTGATCGGCATCCTCCCCCACCATTTGAGCAGCTGATGGGCACTGGCAGTCCAAGCGACATGTGGCTCGGATGGTCACTAAGCCAAAAACTCAGGTGTGGGAGGAGTTCAGAGAGGCCATGAAAAATTACTTTCGTATGGCTTCAAGGCGATTCTGGTCCACCATCCGGTGTCTCAGGGGGGAAGCGGTACACCACCAATGCTATTTATAGTGGAGGTGGTATGCTTCTGACCTCAACTTGGGATGTCGTCAGTCAGTGGGCTGAGTACTTCGAAGACCTCCTCATTCCCATCAGCACATCTTCCACTGAGGAAGCGGAGCCTGGGGACTTTGGGTCGGGCTCTCCAATCTCTGGTGCTGAGGTCACCGAAGTGGTTAAAAAGCTCAGAGTTGGCAGGGCCCCAGGGGTGGATGAGATTCGCCCAGAGTTCCTTAAGGCTCTGGATGTGGTGGGGTTGTGTTGGCTTACACGACTCTGCAATGTTGAGTGGACATTGGGGTCAGTTCCCCTAGATTGGCAGATCGGGGTGGTGGTTCCCCTATTCAAAGCGGGGGACCATAGAGTGTGTTCCAACTACAGAGGGATCATGCTCTTAAGCTTCCCTGGTAAGGTCTATTCAGGGGTTCTGGAGAGATGGGTCCGTTGGATAGTCGAACCTCAGATTCAGGAGGAGCAGTGCAGTTTTCATCCTGGTCATGGAACACTGGACCAACTCTACACCCTCAGGAGGGTCCTGGAGGGTGTGTAGGAGTTTGCCCAATCAGTCTACATGTGCTTTGTGGACTTAGAGAAGGAGTTCGACCACGTCCTTCGGGGAACCCTGTGGGGGGTACTCTGGGAGTATGGGGTACCAGACCCTTTGATATGGGTTGTTAGGTCTTTGTACGACCAGTGTCAGAGCAAGAGACTGATAGGCGGATAGGGGCGGCATCTGCAGTGAAGCGGGCGCTGTACCGGTCTGTCATGGTGAAGAGAGAGCTGAGTCAAAAGAAGAAGCTCTCAATTTACCGGTCAATCTACGTTCTTACTCTCATCTATGGTCATGAGCTTTGGGTTGTGACAGAAAGAACGAGATCTCAGATACAAGCGCATTGTTTCCCCTAGATAACTTGCCATGGCAGGGTGCTCATCTCACCTGTGATTTTTATCGGGGGGTGGAGAGGGGTGGATGCAGACATGTCCTGAGTTGCACAGAGCATTGTTTATACTGACAGTTTTAGAGGGGGTGTGGAGACAGAGACACAGCCGCGCACTGCTTTCACCGACAGTTTTACAGTTTTAGAGCAGAGGTCGGGGAGAAGAAAGAGACAGAGACACGTCTCAGTCGTGCACTGTCTGTACAGACAGTTTTTTGTGTGTGGGAAGACAGAGACACATCTGGGACGTGCGCTGTTTTTACCAACAATTTTCGAGTGTGTGTTTGCGGGGGGGGGGGGGGGGGAGTATGAGTGTTTAGCATGAGGGAAGAGGCTGTCCTTAGCTTTTTAGCTAGTGTACCTGCAATGCCAGCTGCTAGTTTCACGTTACGTCAGTACCGACAGGTGGTTTGGGTGGGTGGGGTGCTTTCGGTAGACAGGGCCCTTGGTTCTGTTGACGGGACACCCCGCTTGTATAATGGTAGGGGAAACACTGAAGTGGCCAAAATGAGTTTTCTCTTCAGGGTGTCTGGGCTCTCCCTTAGAGAGCTCGGTCATCCGGGAAGGACACAGAGGAGAGCCGCTGCTTCTCCACATCAAGATTCCTTAGATAGAGAACTTAACTAATTGGCTTTTATGTATGTGAATGTTCCTGTAAAGTGCCCTGAGACAACTTTGTTGTGATTTGGCGCTATATAAATAAACTGAATTGAATTGAATCAAGAGGAGCCAGCTGAGGTGGCTCGAGCATCTGGTTAGGATGCCTCCTGGATGCCTCACTGATGACGTGTTCCGGACACGTCCCATCGGGAAGAGACCAGTTGTTAATCTGAGCTGGATCCTGTCAGAACAAGATCTGGGAACTCCCTCATTCTGACCAACTGTGTTCCGGCAATTGTTTCCTCGGATCCGGCAAATCTCTGCATGTCCAAAGTCATTGCACATTTTTATTTGGATTATTTATTTTGAGGGTGGCTTTGGCTGAGTGGTTAGAGCAGTTGTCCTCCAATGCAAGAGTTGGGAGTTCGAATCCAACAGCAGACACATGCCAAAGTGTCCCTGGGCAAGACACTGAAGCCTTCATTGTCTCTGATGTGCGTCCCATCGGTGTATGAATGTGATAAAGCACTGATTAGTCTCTTTAGAATGATTTGTTCAATTAGCTTTGTAGAGATCTAGTAGAGTGCTATATGAATGGGTAAATGAGGCACAGATTGTAGTGTAAAGCGCTTTGAGTATCTTGATTAGATAGAAAAGCGCTATATATGTAAGTACAGTCCATTTACCATTTACCATTAATTAAAAATACAACAAGAAGAGCCATTGCCAAGTCTGTGGAGTGGATGTTCCAGTCGCACTACGCGCACGTTCCAGCCGCACTATGCGCACCAACTTGAGCACATGCTCCTGTCAGCTGGGTAAAGCTGACGGTGGGGTGTCAGCTTTACGCAGTTGCTCCAGTCCAGGAGAGTTGCGGACCACATGTCCAGCAGGGAGCGTCTTCATGCTTTATGTGCGCCCTGCAGACAAGGCATGTTTTATACACAGGAGCGTCTCCAGACAGCTCTCTAGAGCGCACACAGCTGTTGATGTGTCGGAACTCCTGCACATAGACATATATACACAGCTGATGTCAGGATTTGGTGGTCAGGAACGAACCCAGTAGTGCAGACAGGA